CCTTTGGTCTGTGGTTTCCTGGTGTGGCGCTGTGGGCTAACGCACTGGACCACAAGGTCGGTTTGAACCACAAGGTTGGCAGTTCAAAATCACCAGCTGTGTCTTGGAAACTATACAGGGTCGCTAAGAGTTGCAACCAACTCAATAGCACTTAACAACGAGTTTGGGACGAGTCCAGGTGTGGCACTGAAGGATAAGCACTAGATCGCAAGGCAGTTTGAACTGCAAAGTCTGTGGTTCAAACCCATCAGAAACCCTATACAGAGTCCCTATGAATGAAAAACCAATTCAACGACACTTAACAACACAACAACACGGTTTCGGGAACCAGAAGCAGCGCCATCACATTATCTCTCTAGGTAAGAACACACTGTATTTTCTCAAAAGACTTCTGTTTTCCCCCATCACCACGCCTCTACGTATGGTCTTCCTCCAAGGTACGCGGTTCAGGCCTATACAGGATCACTATGGGTGGGAACCAACTCAACGCTAGTTAACAAGAGTGACTCAGGGGCCTAGCCACGAACAGGAGGGCGTCTCAGGTGACAACATCCGCTCATTTAATCTTCATAATAACCCTATGAGACGGAGACTATTACGATCCCTGTTTTACAACTACTAATACCAAGGAGTCAAGTAAGCGCAAAGATTCTGAAGTCCACATGCCCTGCTGCTAAACCCAGTATCTTACCAGCACTGGAATTATGTTCCTTATATACCATCAAAGGAGCTCTGGTAGTGTAGTGGTTACGAATCTCGGGCCGCAAGGTCAGCTGTTCCAAACTAACAGCTGTTCGGACGGAGAAAGATGAGGCTTTCTGCTCCCGTAAAGATTTACAGCTTCGGAAACCCTGTACAGGGTCGCGCTATGAGTCGGAACCGACTCCACGGCACATAACCAATTAGCCAACCAACCAATATACCATTGAGTCCATTCCAAACCTAATAGACAGAGGATCAGTACCCCTTACTGTTCCCAGTTCTGTCAATCCTTAAGGAAGCAGACAACCTCATCTTTCTCCTCAAGAGTTGCTAGTGGCTTGAACCACTGAGCTTGAGGTAGCAGTACAACATTGAACCCAGGGTGACACCAGCGCTCTTCGAAGAACCACACCAAAACCAATCCCAAATCCTCTGTCATCAAGTACATTTCGACTCATAGCAATCCTATAGGACACAAGTAGAACTGCTTCCTAGGATTTCCAAGACTACATCTTTAAGTGAGCAAGCAGCGTCATCTTTACTCCTTTAGGTTAGCAGCCCAACGCGTAACCCACTAAGCCACCATGACTCATTGCAAACCAATATAAGACTCGGTGTTTTCAACTATGTTAAGAGGGAAGAGAACGGCGGCTCACTGTAATGCAATGGGCCATCTTTACCCCGGACTTCAAAAGATCGTGGCCTACGTAGCTTGGCGCCTGCGCAAAATCCGTCATCCTGCCCTCGAGAACTCGGCGCTCTACGGGCATCTACTAGTCTGCTTTCCGCTTTGGGAGCCGCCGCCGCAGCCGCGCCTGCCGAACACCGATCAAATGATGGCAATGGCGGCCGCAGTAATGTGAACGACTGCGGAGGCCCAGATCCCCGGCCGGAGACCTGAGAATCGGAGAGGCCTGCGCACCCGTGGAACCCCAACAGAAGCCAGGTCGAACCTGAAGAGCGGGCTGTGCGAGTGCAGGATCTGTGCGATTGTGCTGGGTGTGACTTGAGTGGTGGGAGATGCGGCTTTCGAATTGTGCGTTTCGGTGTCTGTGCTGTGGTGATTGGCCTCTGTGTGGGTGATGCGGGGCGTGCACAGTTGTATTTAGTTCCGCGGCTGAGAAGTGGGTGGTTGTCACCGGAACGAGGCATTTGTCATGTTTGAGTTGTGTCTGTGCGGGGTGTGGAGTTGTCATGTGTGTGTTCCGTGGGTCTTTCCTATGGTTTGTGTTTATGGACGCGTTGAGATTCGTGGGTCAGTGTGCTGCGCGCCTCAGTCCGTCGTGTCTGCGGCTGCGGGCTGTGTCATCTGTGAGGCTTGTCGCAGCCGAACGACGGACAGTTGCAGGGTGCATAAGACTCTTTTTATTTCGTATGTTATTTGGGGTTGTGGAGTTTGCATCTGTGTTGAGTTGTGGTTTGGGGGTGCAGTTTGGTGGTGTGTGTCTGCTTCTCTGATTTTAGGGTTCGTGCACTTACAGTGTTTCTACTTGGTGTGTGCCTGGCTTGTGCTAACTAACCCTTGGGGGTGTGATGGTGGGAACAAGCGTAGTCTCTGCCCTCAGAGCTTACAGTCAGCTGTGGTTCAGCATTTTACACATGTAAATGTGATGATAAATTGAAATCAGTGTTATGGAGGGGAAATTCAGGGTGCTGTCAAGATGAGAGCATGCCTACAGTCAAAGAAGGCTTCCTTGAGGGAAGAGAGTTTGGGTGGAGATGTGAAGGGTGTGTGTTGTAGGGGGGAAGCCTGTTTGATTGGTGGTAATTATGGGTGAGTACCAGGGAAGGACTGCCAAAAGAACCAATAAATCTGTTTTGGAAGAAGTGCAGCCAGAGTGCTCCTTGGAGGCCAGGATGGCTAAACTTCGTCTCTCCTACTTTGGACATATTGTCCGGAGGAAACAATCGTTGGAGAAGGATGTCATGCTGGGTAGGGTGGAGGGTCAGAGAAAAAGAGGAAGACCCCCAACGAGATGGATCAGCCAGGTGGCATCATTGATGGACTCAGGTGTGGCAGCGGTAGTGAGGTTGGCCCAGGATCGAACATTGTTTCGTTCTGCTGTGCATGGGGTCGCTATGAGTTGGTTCCGACTCGATGGCACCTGACAACAACAACAACAACCAGGGAAGGAGCTATGGTAGCGTAGTGGTTACGAATCGGGCTGTGAACAGCAAGGTCAGCAGTTCCAAGCTACCAGCGGTTCCGTGGGAGAAAGATGAGGCATTCTGCTCCCGTAAAGATTTACAGCCTCGGAAACCCTGTGTAGGGTCGCTATGAGTCGGAACCGACTCCACGGCGCTTAACAACAACAACAACAACCTGGGAAGGAAAACGCTCTGGTAGCATAGTGGTTACGAATCGGGCTGCAAACCTTAAGTAAGGTCAGCGGTTCGAAACTACCAGCCGCTTAGCGGGAGAAAGATGAGGCTTTCTACTCCCGTAAAGATTTACACCCTCGGAAACCCTGTACAGAGTCGCTATGGGTCGGAACCGACTCGACGGCACTTAACAACAACAATGGGAAGAAGAAAAGAGCTGTCAGAATTAGGATGGCAGATGAACAGCTGGCTGGGAGGGATCAAATCAGACTGTGGGTTACTGTTTCTGTGACCGCGGCTGGGAATTGCATGTATGTGTTCATTAAGCTTGTTGTGGGTTCATAGTGACCTTTGCACTGCAGAATGAAATGCTGTATGGACCTAGGCCACCCCTTCATTAGTTGTGGATCAGACTACTGAGATCCCTTAGGTTTTCATTGGCTTGTTTTTTGGAATCAGGCCAGGCCTTTCTTCCTAGTCTGTCTTAAGGAGCTCCTGGGGAAGCTGTTCAGCATCATAATATACAAGGCTCCTTTGACAGATCTGAAGGAATCAAACCCCAGAACTCTTATTTCTTAAGAAAATCTGGAACCTGCGGTCTCCAACTGGTTATTTTCTAGGGCACTCTTCTGTTTTGGAGTCCTGGTGTGGTGCTGTGGTTAATCCCTAAAATCAGTCCTGGTGTGGTTAATGCGACAGACTGCAAAGCCGTTTGAACTGCAAGGTTGGAGGTTCAAGCTCACCAGCTTCTCCTCAGAAACCCTACACACGGTCGCTATGGGTCGGAATCGACTCGATGGCACTTCCAACAGCAACAACTTTAGCTTTGGTGATCAAGTGGTCCGTTTTCAATGGCTCTTTGAACAAGTCCATTAAGGGTCACTTACTGCACCAAACTCTAGACAGTGTTTTGTGGTTAAAGGTTCCTGAAAATTTTCTGTGCTTTTCTGGAATGGTTTTGTTTGGATTCTGCTTTTGGCTGGGAGCCTTTCTAAGGTGACCTTGGAAGTGATTTTGCCATGACCCAGCAAGCCAGAAAATGTAACTGATTAAATTCTTTTTATTTTTGAAGCAATGAGAACATTAGGCTTGCTACTCACCTGCCACTTGCTGGTTTATAAAATCTAATAAGCACATTGGTGAGAAAGTTCTCTATAAATATAAAACCCAGGTTTTGTAATGCACCATAAACTGAGGTTGGATTTTTAAATTATTATTGGTTTAGTTTCCTGTTTGTTTTTTAGGGTAGGCTCTATGTCTTTTTCATCTTTGCATTCATGGCACAAATGCTTTGCAAGTGGCAGAAACTCAATATATGCAGTTTAATAAATGATTAAGTTTTATTGTTGTTGTTAAGTGCCGTTGAGTCGGTTCTGACTATAGTGACCCTGTATAGGGTTTCCGAGGAGCAACTGATGAGCTTGAACCACCAAGCTTGCAGTTCAAACTGACCTTGCAGTCCAGCGCATTAAACCACACCACACCAGAAATTTCCTCAGTGGCCACAAAGGCATGCGTATTATGAAGTTGTACCATTTGGCATAAAATTCAAGAATTGCCATGGTATTCTGTTTGTCTTTGAAGTTGAGTTTTCCTCTCTTATCTTCAAGAATCTCTCTTCCCATTTCACTGACTTTCTGGTCTCCAGTGGCGTTCTCAAATTTTAGAAGTCTTTGTGTCTTGGTCTAGGACTTAAGAAACTAGTTTGCTTTCTTAAACTTGCACTGGACCCTTGTTGAACTGTAGAAAGAACAGAGAATTTCCACTTACTGCAAATTTGCCTGAATTGGTTTTTCCCCTTTCTTATTTGTTTTCTCAGGATCTTACTACTCCCAAGAGGAAACCTCGTCCAGACCATAATGTCACTTCCCCATCACCACTGTGCTGTTCGGTTAACCTAACCTGGCCCCTGGTGGAGGAGTCATGCTGAGTCTTGGCATGAGGCCACTGCCTTGTGTAGATTGAGAGGGATTGCCATGGCTGCCTTGGACGACCCGGGGGAAGTGAGGGAGGGCTTCCTCTGCCCGCTGTGCCGCAAGGACCTACAGTCTTTCTATCAGCTTCAGTCACATTATGAGGAAGAGCACTCCAGGGAAGAGCGTGATGTCAAAGGACACATTAAAAGTAAGGAGTGCATGGGAGAGTTTTCCACTACAATATGATGATAATTCATATAATACTTTGTTGTTGTTGTGTGCCGTGGAGTCGGGCCCGACTCATAGCAACCCTGTCTAAGGTTTCTGAGGAATGGCTGATGAGTTTGAACCACTGACTTTCCAGTTCAAACCGACCTTGTGGTTGTGTGCTTATCCTATGGTATTATACCAGGACTCCAATAATAGTAGAAAATACATATCTAGTGCTTTTCATATGCTGGGCATTATTCAGAGACCTTCCCATGTATTCATCTCACTATGTTGTTAAGTGGTGTCCTGATGTGGCATTGGACTGCTAACTTCAAGGTGGGTGCTTCAAACCCATCAGCCACTCCTCGGAAACCCTATACAGGGTTGATATGAGTCAGAACTAACTCAGCGCTTAACAACAATAACAATAATATTAAGTGCCATCAAGTTGGTTCCAGTTAGCAGTCCAGGGCGTATCCTACAGCCCCACACCAGGACTCTAATAATCTTCACTGTGGATCTCTGATTATGAGCTGCTTTTCACTGAGGAGGGTACCAGACAAGGAGAGATTAGGTAGTTTGCCTAAAGTCACACAGTAAGAGTATTCACTGCACCCTGCTGTGCCTTGCTAGACTGTTTGATTTCTCTAACCCCCACCCTAGGAGGGCTTGGGAGTGGAAGTGGAGACACATTATGAACCCATTAACCTGTCACAAATTCAAGGCTTCCTGTCACCCTTCCTTCCCCAACTAGACTTTGCCTTCTACAGCCCAGGAAAAAAGAGATTATAGTTGAGCAGAGAGAAACGGTTCAACTAGTTAAAACTTGGCTTTTGAGCTTCTAGAGACTCAGCTCTTGGAAAGTTGAAGGTAACATTGTTTCCTTTGAAAAAGATGACTTTTTTAGAGCAGTTTTCGATTTATAGAACATTTTTGCAGAAAGTACAGGGAGTTCCAATATACTCCCTCCCCTCTTGCACACTGTAAGAAATGTGTTTCAAAGGTAATTTTGGCTATACGCAGTGTTGATCATATATCCTGAACTTTAGATTCTTAGTCCCATGTAAAATGCTGCCCCTCTGGAATCACTGTCCTAGTCTTTGAGCGAACGTGTTTCTTATAGCTGTCAGTATTTCTGAAGCTGATGAGAAGCTCCAGGCACGTTTCATCATTGGGTGGGAGACTTTGGCCTTGGAACATGTGAGTCACATGCACCCTGTAGTCAAACATTTGTCCGTAGAGTTCCACTCCATGTGTCACTTCTCAATTCAGACAGAAAGTACGGCTGAAGGCATGAAAAACTATCACTCCATCCACAAACATGACCAGGTCAAACGTTCTTAAAATGCTGAGGACTGTGATGGATGAGCTGGCTTCTGATACGAAAGCTGGAGTGAAGTCCTAGCTGTTAGTCACTCTTCCCTCTGCCCCCCTCCTCCCTAATAGTGTTGTGCTTTCTAGTTTCCAGAGCTCTGTCACGTACATTATTGCTTCATTTGACTCCTCCAAGAACACTGCTCTTGGCTTAGAGATGACAAGTGAAGCTTATTGCATTAAAGTCAGGCGCCGCTTTCTTCCCCCTCATACAGTTGAAAGCACTGAGTCTTATATTGTTTTGAAAGGCGTCATGGTGGCTTATAGTCCAAGGAATTGGCAGCACTAGACCTGGAACCCAGGTCTGTGTCATCTTCAAATTCAGTGCTGCTCGTCCACGTGGCACCACTGATAGTGTGAGGCCCATAATCCAATCCCAGCATTCACTGCTATGTGGGAGGGGTTGAGGAGCCAGTGACTAGTTACCTAGCTGATGGGCCTCCGTGACTCGTATTGAGCTCCCAGTCTTGGTGTCGGCTGCACTGAGTCATGTACCGATGACACCAGTAGGTAGAGGCTACAGACTGTCCTCAGAGGGAACTAGGTAAGACCATTTAAGGAATTGTTCAGTGCTGTCGAGTCAGTTCTGACTCATAGCAATCCTTTATAGGGTTTCTGAGGAGCAGCTGGTGGGTTTGAACCACTGAACTTGTGGTTCTCAGTTCTGTTCAGAAAGAATAGAATAGGCTGCTAATATAAAAGTTGGCTGTTAGTACCCACCCAGCAGCACCACAGAAGAAAGGTCTGGCTGTTTGCTTCTGTAAAGATCACAGCCAAGAAAGCCTTGTTGTGTTGTGTTAAGTGCTGTTAAGTTGATTCCCACTGATAGTGAGCATATAGGGTTTTTGAGGAGCAGTTGGTGAGTTCGAACCATCGGTCTGTGTTTCAAACCAACTTTGTAGTCCAGTGTTTACCTCACAGTGCCACCCTATGGAGCATTTTATTCTGTAACATGGGGTTACCAAGGCAGTGGGCTTGGTTTGGTTTGGGGTCTAGTGGAAAGAATACTGGTTTTGGAGTAAGTCAAATCTATGGTGAAGTACCAGCTCTTTCCTTTAGTAGCGGTGTGACTTTGGAAAAAGGATTTACTCTTGCTTAATACTGTTAGTCGTTTTTAAAGCAGAAATGTGGTATAGTTGGAAAGACATGAAATGAAATTTTGATTTTGAGAAAAAAAACATGAAAGCAGAAGAGTTTTTTGGTTTTTTCTTTCTCTCTTCGTCTTTACCTCGGAAGGGTTGAACTCAGCATTTCTTTTGTATCATCCTTTAGTTAGGAAGTGCTTCTTGCTTATGTCACAGTTTTCTGTGTCTCAGAATAAAAGCTGACATCAAAGATTTTTGCAAAGTTCTACAAAACTAGATCACCTCATCATTTGGTCTCACAATTCTTAGAAGTTTTATGACCTTGCTGGTTTTAAGCAAGTGAAATGAACTAAGATTTTTGTCAGGTTTTGGAAACTAGTGTCCTGTCAGTGAGTTTGAGCCCCACCCCTGGTTCAGCTTCAGTTTAGAACATTTGCAGTGGAAGAAAGTGGTTGAAAATTAACTGTGGCTTTTGCTGTGTAAGTGTTTTTCAAAATACATGGGATTGTTCTTAATTGGCCCCTTCTCAAGGGCGACGCCCATGTAAGGAAGGTTGCCAGGCCGTTTTCCTATGCCGCCTAACTGGTTAAATGGCATAGACTGCTTGTTTAATTCAGCACAGTTTAGTCATATGCAAAAATGAATTGGTGTTTGCTAACTTTAATTTCCTGTCTGCTGGACCTTTTGTCAGGCGACTTCCTCTCTCTGTTATTGAAAGAGCTTCCTTCAGTTCTGGTAGCCAGATCCCATCTAGTTGACTCCAACGCATCACAACCCCAGGTGTGTCAGAGTAGAGCTGTGCTCCATAGGGTTTCCATGGCTCAGGTTTTGGAAGCAAGATAACCAGGTCTTTCTTTTGAGGTGCTGCTGGGTAATCTCAAACCTCTTGCCTTTTGATAATCAGCCAAGTGCTTAACCATTTGCACCACTCAGGGACTCCTCAATTCTAGTTGTTGTTGTTGTTAAGTGCTGTTGAGATAATTCCGACCCATAGCAACGATGTACAGGGTTTCCAAGGAGCAGCTGGTGAGCTTGAAGCACCGACCTAACAGTTCAAAGGACTTGTAGTCTGACGCATTAGGCCACAGTGTCAGTTCTGGTAGGCTTTATTTTTTCCAGATGTTGGATAAAGCCGTCCTCACCATCTTTGAGTGACTGGTAATCAGGGGGTTTGCTTTGTTAGCTCTTCTGTCTAACAGAGCTACGCCAGCAGTATTACCAGTTTTGCTTCCTGCCAGCTAGCCCCTCCGTATCTGCATTTACCGAGACTTTTGAAAAACGGGCTGGGGGTTAGGGCCTTTAATGTTAAAAAGTGATAGCATTTCAGAGTCATGGTAACTCAGTGAAGTGTCGATTTATTAAAATGTAAAAGAAATGATGTCATTTTGTACGTAATTTACTGTATTAGATTCTAGTCACCTAAGATTTAATAAAATTCATGAATCAGCAGCTTAGAACTGAGAAAATTTTTTGGATGAATCCTTAACTGAAATCACACCCACTGCCATCAAGTAAATTCTTGCTCATAGGGACCCTATATAGGGCTTCTGAAATGAAAGCTTTAGAGGAGTAGACAGCCCCATCTTTCTACCATGCAGCAGCTAGTGAGTGTGAACCATCACAGCACCAACCACCAACCACAGCACCAACAGGGCTTCTTATGAGTCCCTTGAGTAAATAAATTAGTATTGTAGAATGTGATGTTTTAAAAACTTTGTTTTAATTGAGGTATAACTGGTATCGTCGTGGTTACGAATCGGACTGCTAATCTCACGGTCAGCAGTTCAAAACTACCAGCTGTTCTGCGGGAGAAAGGTGAGGCTTTCTGGTCCCTTTAAGATTTACAACCTCAGAAACCCTGTGTAGGGTCGCTATGAGTCAGAACCGACTCCATGGCACATAACAACAACAACATAGTTTACACATAAGTGCAAATTTGCAATTCAATGTAACTTTTGACAAATGTATACATTTGTCTAACTTCCACTTCAGCTGTGATTGTTGTTGGGTGCCTTTGAGTTGTTTCTGATGCATAGCGACCCATGTGCCAAAGTACAGCCGCCTCATCAGGTTTTCTTTGTAATCTTTATGAAAGCAGATCCCCAGGTCTTTCCCCGCTGGGAGCCTCTGGGTGAGTTTGAACTGCAACCTCTTGGTTACCAATAGAGCTCTTAACTGGTGTGCTACTAGGACCCCTTACCACCACCTCAATTAAGACATAGGAAAAAATACTTCCATCACTGTTGTTCTTTCATCAAATTTGATTTTAACACTTGTCTTTAATTGGGCTGTTCAATTTGGCACTGAACAGTGATTTAGCCTGTGTATTGGCTACATTAACTTACTGCTAATACTGCCTAACGAGTTATTCTTGTGTGGTATTTGTAATACTGTATTTGCGTACTTACTGTTGCATTTTTGGGTGCATCCAAACTTTTCTTCAGCAGTTTTAAAAACAGCATAATATTTTTCATCAACTTTTTTTTTCTGAGATTTCCCTTTGACTCTTTACTGGGAGTTCTTCCTGGGTTCATTTGTGTCATTTGTTCCATTTTTCCCAAGGTTTTGTCCAGAAGGCTAAGAAAGCAAAGAACAGGTTGTTGAAACGAGAAGATGATCGATCTGAATCAGCGACTCAAGGTTATGAGTCCTTCAACTATGGGGGTGTTGATCCTTACATGTGGGAACCGCAGGAACTTGGTAAGAACATTCACTCACTCATTCAGTAAATGTTTATTGAACATCTACTATGATCTGGGTGCTGTTTTTAGAGTTGGCTGAAGTGGTGGTGTTGTTGTTAAGTTCCATCAAGTCAGTTCCAACTCGTTGCAACCGTCAATAGGGTTTCCGAGGAGTGACGTGCATTCCAACCTCCGACCTTGCAGTTCAAACCAACCTTGCAGTCTAGTTCTTATCCTATAGCACTACACCTGAACACTAAAATCGTCTCTGCTTTTCTTGGACTTCCTGTCCCAGTGAGGGAGAAATGGCAGGGAAGGAACTGAGCACCTGCTTTGCGTCTGGCGCTGCCTGCAACGCGTGGCCTCTTACTTCTCCCTGCACGCCAAGTGCACCTTCCCAGGGACAAGCAGAATGCACCCAGGTTTCTGTCACCAACCCCACTGCTGGCATGTCCCCTCTTGTACAAGGTGCTAGCCTGCCTAATGAGAACCACTGGTTTGTACACCTCACTGTTTTGAAGGACATAATTATGACATCAACCACTTACTTTCAAAATCATCATCCTTTTGGGATGATGAAAAATATTCTAAGCTTAATTGTGGTGGTGGTGGTTGCACAACTCTGAAGATACTGAAAACTGCTGAATTCTGTACTTTAAATGCTGAATGAACTATGTGTGTATTATATCAATGAAACTGTTATAAAGCAGACCCTCCCCACTGAGGCGGCAGGCTGGCTCATCTGCATACCCGTTAGCTGTGGGATGATAACAGTCATTACTATAATAAACAGTTTTCTGTCTATGAAATGGATCGATAATGATTTCTTCTATATGCACAGTGCTGGTCCTACCTTCCAATTCAGTTTCTTGTTTATCTATCACATAAGCCTTGTGAGGTAGAATGGATAAGGATGCTCATTCCCATTTATAGGTGAGGAAACTGAGGCTCTAAGAAGAGACGTTATATTTACCTAGGGTCATCTGCCATGTCCTAATAGTGCCACTTGCAAGGTATCTTTCTGGGTAAGAAAAGTCCTAGAACTGTGCTGCCCAACATGGTAGCCACTAGCCATAAGTGGCTATTTAAGTTTCAGTGAATTAAAATGAATTAAAAACCGGTTCTCAACAATAGTAGCCTTATTTCCGGTGCTCAGTATAATGTGTGGTTGTGGTTGTTTACCATCAAGGTGATTTTGAGTCATATGACAGAGTATAACTGCTCCATAGGGCTTTTTATTTTTATGTTTTCATATAGAGTTTCCTAGGCTGTAATTGGAGTCCTGGTGCGGCGCTGTGGGTTAATTAATGCGCTGAACTGCAAAGTTGGTTTGAACTGCAAGGTCGGCGGTTCAAGTTCACCAGTTGCTCCTAAGAAACCCTATATAGGGTCGTTATGTGTCAAAACCAATTTGATGGCACTTAAAAACAACAGCACATCTTTATAGGGGCAGATCAGCAGGCCTTTTTTCCCTCAGGGTAAAAAAGTTGGCTTAACACTGTTAACCATTCAATGAACAGCCAAGTTCTCAACGATTACACCTCTAGTGGTTACCACACTGGACAGTGGGAGTACTTTTGCCATTGCAGAAAGTTATAGTGGACAGACAGCACTGTCCTAAAATAAAGTATGATACCAAAGAAAATGGCTTAAAAATTAATATTGTACATAGGTAATTATGAGTCACGTATAAAGCCAGTTATAAAATGAAGGAGACATTTCCAGCTTGTGAATTCTTGTTTTAGGATTGCTAGTATCAGATTTAGGAATGCTGTGGCTGCATATGACTAGTACTGGACTCGGGAGAAAGATGAGGTTTTCTGCTCCCATAAAGATTTACAACCTCAGAAACCCTATACAGGCTCGCTATGAGTCGGAACTGACTCCACAGCATACCAACAACAACAACCACGTCACATTATCAGGGTAATTTTGGTGAACTTGCTTCAGAAGTTTCAGCAGCAAACGGAACTCACGTTTTGTAGAAGGCTAGACAAGTAGCAAATTTGGAAGTTAATATTTAAGGTCACCCTAAGAGTTCTAAATGACAGTTTCATGAAAGGTTACAGGGTCACTGTGAGTCGGAACTAACTCGACGGCACTTTAACCACAACAACATAGGGAAGAAAGGCATGGATAGTTAAAGTGTATGTTATTGGATAGGCTTGCTGAAGAGTTGCTGGTGGGTTTGAACCACTGACCTTATAGTTAGTAGTCCAGTGCTTATCCTTCAGAGCCACACCAAAATGTGGTTGTTGTTGCTAAGTGCCATCGAGTCGGTTCCAACTCAGAGCAACCCTGTATAGGGTTTCCAAGGAGTGGCTGGTGAGTTTGAGTCAACAGCCTCATGGTTCAGACTGACCTTGTGGTCTAGTGCTTATCCTACAGCGCCACACCATAGCATGTGACAAATTCCAGATATGGCATGATACATAAGTAAGTAGGCATTCATTGGAAGGAGAAAACGAGCTAAGTGTTGGGAGGGTCCGGGGCAGGGTTGGATTATGGAAGATAGGAAATTAAATAGGGGATATTTCATGTACACTGAGACAGCAAGCTACTTGGTTCCATTTGTGTTGGCTGCTGGATGGGGAAAGGTATCAGTTTGAGTAGCTCCCCCAAAGGCACTTGTTACCATTTATATTTTTAGGGTCATTTTGAAGGATTGCTTTTATTCTGATGAAAAAGTATCGTTAGAAAGTAGGAAAGGAACTAAAAAAAGAAAAATAATCACCCATAAGGTTAGATCGTCCTTTTTAACAAACATTCACATACTAGGCAGTGTTCTAAGGCATTTAGAAATTTCCATTGACTTAATCCTCATTAACAGCCCTGGGAAGTAGGTACTATTGTTATCACTGTTTTATTGTGAGTATTCTTATGTTGCAGAGAGTTTAGGTTTTTTTGTCCAAGGTTACAGAGTGTGTGGTAGAAGCTAGCTCCAGGATCTAAGCTCTTATTGTTGTTGTTGTTAAGTGTTGTCGAGTTGATTCCAAGTCATAGCATCCCTGTATAGGATATCTGAGGAGCAGCTGGTGTGTTTGAACTGTTGACTTTGTGGTTCAAACTGATCTTGCGGTCCAATGCTTACTACAGTGCTACAGCACCACACCAGGACACTACTCTGAGGTCCCTCTTACTGTCTTTTTGTGTTTTGTGGCTGCCAAGGTAACCACAATTAATATTTTAGAAAATCCCCTTCCATTTGCTTTCCTCAATGACATTGGGTGGTGTAGAAGTCCAAAGTCAGAGTGACTCTAAGGGTCCTTCCTGGAATATTTCAGTTTCTGTTGTTGTTGTTATGTGCCAGTTGAGCTGTTCTAGCCCATAACAACCCTGTATAGGGTTTCCAAGGAGCAGCTGGGAGCTTGAACCACCGACCTTGCAGTTCAGACGACTTTGCAGTCTCACGCATTAGCCCACAGCACCACACCAGGACTCTCCGTTTCTGTTAGCTGCCAATAACCCTTGGCAGATCTGTCTGTCCCATAGTCTGTCTTCCACTTCCTCCTGTGTTTTGCTGTGTCTCTTGTGCTCTTTTTTCTTTTTTTAAGTTTTTTGTGTGAACTGAGTGATAGTTTACATGGGAGAACATCAACTTCAGGCCATCCTATCGTATTTTGTTTCATTGCAATGATTACAATCTCCTCCATGCATCATCATTCAATAGTATTTGCTTCTAGTCTCTCATTTCTGTGTTTTTTTTTTTTTTTTTGCTTTCCTAGTTTTTGAATTTTTATAGTAAGACTGCAAACTTCTAGAATTCCTTCTTGCTTCTGAAATTCATTAAAGATAAGCACCAAGATTCGAGGGGCTCAGTCAGACATTACAAGTTATTTACATCCCACCTTCCTTCCTTCCAGGTGCTATGAGAAGCCATCTTTCTGATTTCAAAAAACATCGAGCTGCCAGAATTGACCACTATGTTGTCGAAGTCAACAAATTAATAATCAGGTTAGAGAAGGTAAATTTTCTTGTTTCAAAACATTTTTTTTCTGCACATATAAATTTTCTGTGGTGAAAAAAATAACATTTCTATAACCTGTATTGTGGTGGTGGTGGTGGTTGTGTGCCGTGGAGTCAGTTCCCACACATAGCGACCCTGCACAGGGTTTCCGAGGCTGTACATCTTTATAGGAGCAGAAAGCCTCATCTTTTTCCCGCGGAATGGCTGGTAGTTTCGAACCTTGTGGTTGGTAGCCCAATTTGTAACCACTACACTACCAGAGCTCCTCATAACCTGTGTTAGCTGTATATATATCTTCTGTGCTGGCAGAGAAAGGCCGTACTTGGAGAGTACAGAGGATGCAATAGACTTTTCAAACCTGGACGGTTTCACTTTTTGCCCCAGGCAGGCTTCCCTTTTCCTACGGTGGAGCCTACTGCTAGGAAACCTCTCTGCCTTCAGGCTCCTTTCTCATGGGTGTGTCCCAGGCATGATCACTTCATGGGGGCTACAGTGTACGATCTCATTTGATGGCAGATAGTGAGGAAACTGGTGAATGGGTCGGGGGTGAGGGGGAACTAGCTAAACCCAGCATGCAATGGGACTGTCTGATAGGGCCTTCATGAGAGAGAGCATGACTGACCCTAGAAACGCTGCTTGTAGTGGATAGCCTGTGTTGTGTGGTAGACCTTTAAACGACCGGGGAGACAGTTCTTATGTCCTTCGTAGGGCAGGAAACCATGCCCAGGAGGAGGTAGAAAATCGGGGGTTCCTCATTGCTTTAGTAGCCGTTGCCTCAACCAAGTGGTTCCTGGTTATTGCTTATGTGGTAACTGACACTAAAGAGATAGGAAGCGAGTGACCTTCAAATGAAGGCCCATCTGTCCCACGTGTCCTGGCTACTGTGACTTGTGGGGTTTGGGGATGGCAGGTGAGACTTAGAAATGCAGATCTGCTCGTTCCCGTGTGATGCCTCCTGCCTGTGAAAGTGTGCACATCCCCTGATTGACCCCACTGGCTCTCTTTTCTCTTTGTCAGCTCACTGCTTTTGACAGAACGAATGCTGAATCGGCTAAGATTCGAGGTAACTCTACAACTTGGTTCACATTCATTCTATTCTGTATCTTACTTCTGACCACATCTCTTTTCTAAAATGGCCTGTTTGTCTGCTTGTTTGGTTTTTGGCTTGTTTTCCCCAAAGCCATAGAAAAGTCAGTGGTGCCTTGGGTCAACGACCAGGATGTCCCTTTCTGTCCTGACTGTGGAAACAAATTCAGCATCCGTAACCGCCGCCACCACTGCCGCCTCTGCGGGTCTATTATGTGCAAGAAGTGCATGGAGCTCATCAGCCTTCCCTTGGCAAGTAGGTTAGGGGGGCGGCCCATGGGAAGGGGTCACCTTTTGGGATAAGCCTGCTTGTTAATAACCACTGTGACTGTGGGACCTTTTATTTTAAATGATCTTCACTGCTGATTGCACAAAGCTCCTATAGGCTCTGTGCTGGGACCAAGGATACAATGATCTTTAGTAGAGTTCAGCAGACCTTTTCTGTGGTCAGATAGTAAATATCTGGCATTATGACCATATGGACTCCTGGTGTGGCGCTGTAGCCTAAGTATCGACTGCTAACCACAAAGTCAATGGCTCGAACCCACCATCTACTCCTTGGAAACCCTACACAGGGTTGCTTTGAGTTGGAACCAATTCAGCGGCACTTAACAACAACAGAAAGTGGCACTGTAAGGATCCCTGGTTGTTGTTAAGTGCCATAGAGCTAGTTCCGACCTACAGCGACCTGTATAGGGTTTCCAAGGAGTGACTGGTGAGCTTAAACCGCTTGTGATTCAAACTGACTTTGCAGTCTTGCGCATTAACCCAAAGCGCCACATCAGTCTCCAAGAAGCCCAGGTAGTGTAGTGGATTACAAGCGGGGCTGCTAACCACGAGGTCAGCAGTGTGAGTCCACCAGTTGCTCTGTGGAAGAAAGATGAGGCTTTCTGCTCCTGTAAAGACTTACAGCCTTGGAAACCCTACGCAGGGTGGCTCTGAGTTAGAGTCGACTTGATGTTATACCACCAGTACAATTAGCGAAGTGTGTCAGGCATCAGGAGACGCTCATTAGCTTGGCTGGATGGCAGGAGGAGACTGTAGGAGAGGGACTTGAAAAGTAGGAAGTAGGCTGGGCCCTCCCTTTGGATAAAAGTCACTCACAGCTGCCTGCTGTATAGGACAGGCTGCAGTGTCAGAGTATGAGACCAAGTGCTGTGGAGGCTAGGGGGAGAGTGGGCATGTGGAAGCCACGTTCTGGGGAGCCGTGAAAGATAAGTAGGATTGCAAGAGAATGGGCAGAGGGGAAGTAGAGGCATGGGATTTGGATACTCAGAAGTTAGTACATGTCAGAGTGTGGAGTGTGCATGTAGGAATTGTAGGAATAAGACTACTAAGATGAGGGGGAACTAAGTGGTCCTGAATGTTGAATCTCAGCTGGTTAAAAGTTGCTAAAGATCATCTCATCACCTTCTGGGACATCTGGGGTAGGTTTAAATGTTGGAGAGACCCCAGGACTCTGCATGCTGTTGGCTACTGGATGTTACATGAGGGCATAAGCAGAGACTTCCTTTGGCCCTCACACCCACAAGGCCCATTTTACCCTAATAGTTTACCATTGTCTCATGTGAAACATGATAAGTTATGTTTTTGTAGCATGTGTTTTCTTCCCTTGGGCTTATTAGCCAGCATTTAATGCGCAGCTGCTGTGGAGTGAGTGGCCTTGCTGGGTATGTGAGGGGTGCAGCTCGAAATAAGACAGCTTCTATTCAGAAAGCCTAACCAGAAAAATATACACGAAAATTGCACACAGAAAAATGTATGCATAGAAAAATGTATACATAGACAAATTCTCATAAAGAGATAGAGTAATGGTTAAGGTTTGGGTTAGAGTTAGGGTGAGCATTTGGCTTAGGATTCAGACTCTATTTCGAGTTAGAGTTTATTGCTTTATAATGTGATAAAAGAATTTTCTGTGTGTATTTTTCCATGGGAATGCTTTTCTTGTGCACACTTAATGACAGTGGGTTTTTTTCTGTGTGCAGTTTTCCTGTGGGCTTTCTTTGTGTGTGTTTCCCCCCTGGTTCCTTGGTCATCTCTAGGGTGTGTACATAACTGTACACAGCAGGTCCGTGGGAAGTGCCCAAGGCTGGGACTGTGCTAGGAGCTGATGGGAATGGGAAAGGGGGAGCGTCCTGGGAATGGAGGGTGCCTGTGGAGGGGAGCATCAAGGGGGAAGCTGTGGTTGTGTCTGAGACACAGGGAAAGCAGAGGAAGGTGGTATGTGGTGAAGTCTTGATGACAGACCACCCTGGACTGTTGGGACCTTCCCTGGATGGCAGCAAGAGGTTGTGTCAACAGAGTCTGACCCCAGGAAGGCAGGGGCGTAGGCACTTGTCCGTAGGAGGAACCTGGGCTGTTGGTCCCCAAAATCCAGCACCCGTGGATAGGTATGCGTCCTGAGAGATGGGATTCTTGGATGCTGGGGGGTCACTGCCACCTGTCCTATGTTGTGGTTTACAGACAAGCTTACCAGTGCCAGCAAGGACTCCCTGAGCACCCTCAGCAGCCCCAGCCAGTCCCCCAACAGCGTCCATGGCTCCCGCCGCGGCAGCATCAACAGCGTGAGCAGCGTGAGCTCGGTGCTGGAGGAGAAGGAGGACGATCGTATCCGCTGCTGCATGCACTGCAAGGACACCCTGCTCAAGAGGGAGCAGCAGATTGACGAGCGGGAGCACAGCCCCGACATTGTGAGGCTGTACGAGGTGAGGCCCCGGCCCCTCATCGCGTGCGTGCCTGCACAGAGAATTCAGGGAAGTGGCTGCCCACAGAGCCGTCTAGGGCATCTTGTAGCTAACCCATGTCCTCACCCTTCTTTGCAAGAGGGTAGACCAGGGCAACGGATGCAGTAGTGGTTGCCGTACGCTGTGGATGGGCTTTATAGGCGATGTTGGCCAGAAATAGACTAAATTTAGGAGTCTCAGGTTTTATGAGATTAGGAAACGGCCTGCTAGCATTTCCCCTTTTACACTGTTCAAATGCCTTAGCTTTGTTACCACAGACAATCCCAGTGCACCCTTAGCAGATGTACACTTTAAAAGGAACATACCCACATTAGAGAACTTTCCATCTTTGTGGAGTACACAAGCCTCATCTTTCTCCTTCAGAGCAGCTGGTGGGTTTGAACTGCAGACCCAGAATCACTGTTCTTGTTGTGAAGTGTCATCGAGTCGGTTCCAAGTCATAGCAACCCTGCATAGGGTTTCTGAGGAGCAGCTGGTGGGTTTGAACTGCAACCTTGCAGTCGAGTGCTCATCCTACAGCGCCACACCAGGGTTCCATGAAGGGGACATAGTGTCATGTGAAGAGCAATGAGCTTTAGAGTCAAGATACATGGGAGTGAGGCAGGGCTTGGCCTCCTGGTGGGCAGGTAAGACCTGTAGATGGAGTAGAATTAACCAAATGGGTGAGGCAGGGAGGCATAGGAGATTAAGAGAAAGAGAGCAGTCTAGGCAATTCCAAAACCCACTCCTCTACAGGGCCAGTGTATACTTTTGTCTGATGACAACTTAATGGTCACTGTTAACAGTTTTGTATAATGGCTGTGTTTTTTGAATCACTGTGAAAACTCCCAAGGCACTAGGATGAAACCCTCTGCTCAGCTACAATGTAGCTATTATCTGCCCTTTGTGTAGCGCTCATGACTAAGGTCTTTTTTTCATCAATACCCAATATATTTTTTGCTTCCTTCTTTTTGAGGTTGTTGTTATTAACTGCTTTTGAGTCAGTTGTGACTCACAGCGACCTTGTGTAGCGTTTCCAAGAAGCAGCTCGAGGAAAGGCCTGTAAATGCCTTGTGCTGGTGTTTTGCAGTTTCCTGGCACCATCTGGCTGAGAGAGAATGTAACAAGGAATTCCTCTTCTTTGCCGTGATGACTCACTGACTTGTATCTTGGAATGCCTTGTTCCTCTCAGGACATCTGGCCAAAGCCCCACCTTCTCTTTCCCAACAGCAGGGTTTTCTCCTTATAGTTTTGTCAATCAGGAAATCAGTGATAACTTCTAAAAACTGTACTCTGCAACTTTTTTTTTTTTACCATGTTTTAGAAAGATGTTTGTAAGAAAACATGTGCCATTTCTACCTCTTATACCTGTACAGTTTAGTGATGTTGGGTTCCTTATGCTGTGCACCTATCACCTATCACTCTGAATTTCCAAGCCTCCTCTTGTTTATTTTTAGAAATTACGACTTTGCATGGAGAAAGTGGACCAGAAAGCTCCTGAATACATCAAGATGGCCGCATCACTCAAGTAAGCCCTTCTCTCTTTCCCTAATCCAGTGGTGTATCTTTTGTTTTGGTTTTAAACTGTTTATTATGAATTGAGTGAAGGTCTACAGAGCACATTACCAGTTTTACATTGAACAGATTGCATACTTCATTTCATTTCAGTTATCCCACATCCTCCATGGGATTCTTACTTCCCTTCTTCCTTCTTTCCCAACCTTCTGAATTTTGTCCTTAGGTAAATGCTGCCCTTTTGATCTTGAATGGTTGACCAGTCTATGGTGTGCGTACCTCACTAGTGTTGTTGTCCCCTGATATACTATCAACTGCTTGGCTGAACAGTAAAGCCACGAGGCTGAGTTCAATTCCGGACCTGCAGGTTAACCAAACGCCATAATCTTGGGTTCCTTCAATCTCTTTCTCCCTCTCTGTTCAGGACCTTTTAATGTGATCCCACTCAGAGCAGTTGGTAGTGGTAGCTGGGCACCATCTAGTTAGTCTGGTCTCAGAGTCATGGAGACTGATGTTCACGTGCTTCAGTAGTCCATTGGATGAAGAGATTCCAAGCTTCTTCAGATTTCATCAGTCTTCTTTCTTCTGCACATGGTGAAACCAACAGTTGTGCCTTAGATGGCCACTCCTGAGCTTTTAACATCCTAGATGCTACTCACCTAAGTAGGATGTAGAACATTGTTTTTGTGGACTGTTTATGCCAGTTGACCATGGTGTCCCCCAAGAGTATGGTCCTGAGCTCCCAGGCTCAGAAACTCATTCCCTCAAGGTGTTTGGTAATATCTATGAAGTTTTCATCATTTCCTCCTCTGTATATTCCCAAGTGGTGACATTTTAGACCAGTTCTGAAATGAAAATCTAACTCAGGCTATGCTTTTCTTCTGTGGCCAATTCAAGAGAACCTTCTCAACGTATGTACTTCTGTGAGGCCACATTACAATCACTTGAGCTTTGCTAAAATATGTCCCCATAGGTGACCTGCAGCTATGCTGAGTGAGCATGTTCGGAGTGGGCCTTGGATGACTGGCACCACTGCTGGGGGCAGCATCATGTTCTTGCCTGGGCTAAGGAGCTACCAGGACTAAAAACAGACCAGAACCCAGAGGTCAGATCTAGCCTACTACATGTTATTCTAAAAGCAAAAAAGACCAAACTCATATACCATAAAATTATCCCTGTTACGGTGACCAATTCGTGGATATTTAGTTCATTTGCAGAGCTGTGCAACCACCACCTGTATCTAGTTCCCAGTATATTCATCTCCCAAAAGTAAGCCTTATACTTGTTAAGCAGCCGCCCCCCAATTCACTCCTTTCCCGAGTTCTGGCAACCAGCTGTCTATTGTCTGTCTCTATGGATTTACCTATTCAGGACATTCCCTATCAATGGAGTCATGTAACTTGTGGTCTGTTGTGACTGTAATATGATGTTTTCAGTGCTGTCTGTTGTAACATGGGTCAGTATGTCACAACTTATTATGGCCAAATAATATTCCATTGTATGTACGGACCACACTTTGTGTATCCATTCTTCAGTTAATAGACATCAGGGTCATTCCACTTTGGAGTATTATAATGCTGTAGTGAATATTTTTATACAAGTTTTTATATGGGCATGTGTTTTCATTTCTCTTGGGTATATTCCCAGGGGTAGAATTGCTGGGTCGTGTGGTAGTTTTGGGGTCCTGGTGTGGCGCTGTAGGATAAGCACTGGGCTGCAAGGTCAGTTTGAACAGTAAGGTGGGTGGTTTAAACTAACCAAGCACTCCTCGGAAGGCCTAAACAGGGTGAGTCAGAGCGGACTTGATGGCACTTAACAGCACCCACAACAATGGTGGTTCTGTGTCTGACTTTCTGAGGAATTGCCAGGCTGTTTATCATTATACATGACTGTGCCATCTTATAGCCCCACCCACCAGCAGAGTAGGACCGCTCCAGTTTCTCCACAGCCTCTGCAACAATTGTTATTGCCTCCTGATGTTAGAAGTGAGATGTCATTGGAACATAGCCGGGCCTGTTTGTTTGCTACTGTGTGTGACTGCTTTTGTGTGACAACAGCAGAGTTGTGAGTTATGACACATACTGTTTGTCCTGCAAAACAGGAACTGTTGTCTGACTCTTTACAGGAAAGATTTACTGACCATTTCTCCTGAAGGCTAGGGTTGTGTAAGCTAGGATTTGGGGTGCTACTACTATTAGAACCAGATTCCAATAGTTTTTACCCAGTATACAGGGGAGAAAAAATACTTATGGTTTCCATTGTTCTCAATTTGAAAGTATTCTGCCTTTGTCTTAAGCCTGTATTGCCAACCTACCACCTTTGTAGTGATGCATGTAGAATTAGATGTGCTTGTTTAGAATGAAACTGTATTTTTATTTGGATATTTACTGTGGCAATATTTTATAATGTTCCTAAAGACACAGAGTATAAGTTTGGCTTTTCTTTCGTGATATAAAGTGGCACAACAATGAACATCAGTGTGCATATATCTGGTCTAGTCTCTTCTATTAGATCCCTAGGGTATATAGACAGGAGTGGGATTGCTGGGTAAGATAGCTTTATTTCTAGTTTTCTGAGGAAATGCATAGTGGTTTTACTATTTTACAGTTCCATCAGCAGTAGATTAGGGTTCCATCTTGCCACATCTACACCAGAAAATGAGACTGTGAGGTTGGCGCAGGACTGGACAGTGTTTCGTTCTATTTGCCTAGGGTTGCTATGAGTTGATACCTACTCTATGGCACCTAACAACAACAACCAACTTCTTTAGTGTGAAATTGATCAAATGTAATCAAGATGCATTGACAGTTATTGATGATAGGAATGCAAAACTTGGAACCAAAGAGAAATGATCTGTAGCTGGAAAATATGGCCTTGGTGATAGAAATGATACTGGAGATAGCATGAGAGTATATTGCAAGACTGATTCACCAGATGGCATACACAGGAATCAAATTGACGACATCTGTGGGAAGAGGTAGTGGAAAGTTCCATCTCATCAGCCAGAGCAAGGCCAGGGGCTGATTCTGGAACAAACCACCAACTGTTCATATGAACATTCAGTCTGAAGCTGAAGAAAAAATTTTAAATTCCAAAAGAGCCAAAATATGACCTTGAATATATTCTACCTGAATTAAGAGACCCTCTCAAGAACAGATTTGATGCATTAGACACTAGTAACTGAAGACCAGAAGAGTTGTGGGATGACATCAAGAACATCATACATTTGAAAGACAGGGAAACAAGAAAAGACCAAAGTGGATGTCAGAAAAGACTCTGAAACTTACTCTTGAGCGTATAGAAGCTAAAGTGAATCGAAGAAATGAGGGAGTCGGGAGTCTAAGAGCTGAACAGAAAATTTCTAAGGGGAGTTTAAGAAGACAATGTAAAGCATTATAATAAAATATGCAAAGATCTGGAGTTAGAAAAGCAAAAGGGAAAAAAACATGCTCAGCACTTCACTTTTCAAACTGAAAGAAAACATAAGCCTCAGCTTGCAATATTGAAGGATTCTATGAGCAAAATATTGAATGGCACCGGAAACATCAAAAGATGCCTGGTGTATAAGGAGTCATGTACCAAAAAGAATTGGTCAACATTTGACTGTTTCAGCAGGCAGCATATGATCAAGAACTGTATGTATCAAAGGAAGACATCCAAGCAGTACTGAGAGCATTGGTGAATAACACGTTTCCAGGAATTGGCGGAATGCAAATTGAATGTTTCAAAAAACTCATGCAGCACTGGAGGTGCTGGCTTGTCTAATATGACAAGAAATTTGAAAGACAGCTAGCTGGCCAACCGATTGGAAGCAATTCATGTTTGTGCCTATTCCAAAGAAAGGTGACCCAACGGAATCTGGAAATAATCATACAATATCTTTTTTTTTTTTTTTAATTATTTCAATGTTTTATTGTGAATTATGTGATAGTTTACGTGGGAGAACTTTAGCTTTACATTCATCCTATTGTATATCATTTCATTGCCATGGTTACAGTCCCCTCCATGCATTAACAACCAACCAAAGGGTATACCCTGCAAGCCTGCCTTCCTGGTCGTCAGCACACAACCCTTCTCCCTCTCTGTGTCTAAAGTCCCCAGCTGCTCAATCTCTCCACATCATCATCTCTGCCTCCATCTCTGGCAAAACTGCTTCTCTGAGTAGGGTTCTGTTCTCCACTCTTCTCCCTTAATGATTCCAGGGACCTCTGCTTCTAGACTGCAAAGTTAATCACTCCCCTTCTTTTGTCATAAAATGTCTACTTTTATATTTCCAGCCCTTAAAATCAATCCTGATAACAATTATTCACTATTGTATCGCAAGAGAGCTAACCCATCTCCTTTCATCAGCCCTGCCCAGACAGACTGGATACAACTCAGTGGAGATTCTACCTTCCTCCACGCCCTCTGGATCTAGGTTCCCTCTTGAAAGCTTGTAAGCCAGTCACTTCTTGCCTTTGTAATCCCCTTCCCCCAGACAATATCTTTAATATATCACATGCAAGTAAAATTTTGCTAAAGATAATGTTAAAACAATTGCAATAATACTTTGACAGCAGGCGGTCAAAAATTCAAGCCGGGTTCTGGTACGGCAGGATAGCCAGGGAAGTAAGGTAAGGACGGGCTCCAGGGAAAAATGAGTGGGATCTCACAAAGGAAACGTTCATATACCAGTCCCACGGCTTTTAAACTATCATAAAGTTTCCTGAACTCACATTTTTGAGAAATCGCGCTAATAAGGATAAAGAAAGACGCGTATTTTGGGACTCTTGCCTGCGGGTCCATGGGTCACTCCTGCGACTGCAGAGTTTAGAGGGTGGGGCCAGGGCCAGCATGTTCGGAAAGCAGCGTCTCCTGCGGGGGGGAAGGGCAACAGGCAACCTAGCTTCCCCCCGCCCTGGCTTGATATCCCAATAAAAATCAGCCGGGTGCAGCTCACCCATACACGGAGAGTGTGAGAAAGTCATCCATCATCCCCCATTTGTCTCTGCATCTAAGTCCCCTGCCCCCACT